TGTGAATCAGGAGAGAAATCTGCACAGATCAAGCAGCGTTTAAACAGCTCTAAACACATATGTGGCTGGATTTTGATGTGAGAGACAACAGCAGATGCACTTTTTCACTGGAGGAAGAGTTATTATGGATTATGGACTCTATGGTATTTTAGTTAAAAACATCTTAATGCTGGATTTGTTTCAGCTTTTGTCTTCTCCAGATGTTAACTGATGGACTGGAGTGCTGTGGATTACTTGTGGATTATTGTGATGTTTTTATCAGCTGTTTGGACTCTCATTCTGACGGCACCCATTCACTGCAGAGCATCCATTACTGATACACTGATGCAGTGCTACATTTCTCCAAACCTGAAGAAACACACTCATCCTGATCTCAGATGAGCACATTTTCAGCACATTTTCATTTTTGGGTGAACTATTCCTTTAACAGAATGTTCTTCCATCAGCTCTTTCTTTCTTGTCTGAATGTACAGCCAACATAACCTTCAAATGTCAAGGATGTCAAGCAAAAGGCTTTGTGAGTCCAACATTTTTAACATTTCTCTCCTTTGTACGTCCATCTGAAGCAGTGTTCATCAATAAAACCCATCAAACTGACACAGAACAACCCATGCAGCGCACAGTCCCGTCCTGAACTCAACTCATTATCCTGCACGTAATTGTAATTATTTTCACATTCATTAGTGCAGTGATTTTTGCGCAGCATCGAGTCCATACTGTATCTAAACGGGTCATTACGCATCCCCCTCCAGTCACATCAAATGATTACAGAACTGACCTCATTTCTCACTTTTCCGACCTATGACAACAGGTTTCATCTTTAAATGTGACATAACTCACTCAGCAAACGCATGTTCAGTCACCATTCAACTACCTGTTCTGATAAAGCAGTGTAATTTCCCTGGATTTCCATAATCCTCACTAATTATCCAATTAAACAGCAAATGATTTAATTGGCAGGTTTTGCTCCAACAGTCTGCGTTCCAGCTAATCTCTTCAGTCACATCGTTACAGGAATTGGATTTGAAATGTAATACGCCTTAAAGAGGCAGAAAACAAAAAGTGGAACATTTGCATTGCTTACCCATACGACAAAAAAAATATTTTTTTTCTCTCGCTAAAATATAGTTTAAATATATGTTGTAAACAGTGAAGCTCAATGAAATACATTTTCAACCTTCATATACCAAAATACATTTCCAATCTTACAGCAGCCTACATTTAGGCTGAATGCAAATGTGAATAGCCTACTAGAGATCAAAAATAGATTTATAATGATTGAAAAATTTTTGTATTGTATTTTTTGGCTTTATTTTGAAATATATTCAAAAGTATATCTGAAAAGATACATCTTTTTTTTGCTGTATGGAAATTTTGCCTTTCATTTTGAGAAAGACATGGGCTATATTCACAATCATGAGCTCAGTTTCTTCTGTATTTCCAGCATACTACATTTTTAAACATACGGTACTCTGATGATGCGAGTAAAAGTGAACTTAAATGAAGAATAATGCATGTTTTACTGTCAAAGACCACTAACAAAACCACCTGGAAATATCATTTGCACATAACTGAGGAGGAAAATAGAAAATAAATAATTCTGAACTGTATAAATCTGCCTTCATCGTTTTTATAAGCCCAAGCATTCACCAGTTCATCTAGAAAAGCTCATCTAAATGCACTGATATCCTACACATCAGATTCACTGTGTAACATCATGTGTCTGGTGTTATGAGTTTGTGAAGTAAACTGCTGTCTGATGTTGATGTGCAGTGTGATCCTCACCATCCTCTTTGTCGTCGAACACTGGTCTCTTGGATGAACTGTTCGCTGCTCCCATCCTCTTCTTCCACTTGCCCCAGTGAAACATTGATGCTCTGCTCTCATTCCTTTCAGCGCGACGGAAACTGATGCTGGATGCCTCTAAAACACGAGCATCTCTGACAAACGCCTGCGATCCGCGGGGATGACCTGACGCGATCTGCGCTCCCGAAACAACAAACCAAGAGACTCACACACGCACCCAAACCACGAGCTGCTCTCTCCAGCAGCAGCAGCGACTATATGAACCTCCTCCCCTCGCTCGCGCGCTCTAGCGACTGTCGGATCACTCACCGGAGCGCTTCAGGTGTGACAACGGCTTTATCCAAGTGAAAAAAATATTTAATATTAGTCTCCTTTAGTGTGCTATGCGACATCAAAATCAATAAACGAAAGAAAACAGGTTATTATCTTTATTATTATTATTATTATTATGATCCCACCTACCTCCCCAGATAGTACCCCTGATAGCACACGTACATCACGGAGACGTCTATTTGACATCTACATTTACATCTGGAAGACGTATTTTTTAGAGTGTTTGCTCATCTGCAATATGTCTATAGGACGTTTCATTTTAGATGTCAAATAGACATCTATTAGATGTCTTTAAAGGGATAGTTCACCCAAAAATAAAAATGTGATGTTTATCTGCTTACCCCCAGGGCATCCAAGATGTAGGTGACTTTGTTTCTTCAGTAGAACACATATGATGATTTTTAACTTTAACCGTTGCAGTCTATCAGTCGTATAATGCATGGCAATGGTAACAAAATCTATGAGAGTAAAAAAAACATGCACAGACAAATCCAAATTAAACCCTGCAGCTCGTGACGATACACTGATGTGTAAAGACACGAAA